CTCAGAAGCCCCTACCTCTGGGCCGGGAACAGTGGGACTCAGTACCTTGGTCTGGTGGTCTGGTGTCCTCTGCGTCTTTGTAGTGTGGAATCAGGCTGCCTGTCTGCAACGGGGTGATTTGGTGTCTTCCGCACAACTCAGGACCTCGGTAGGGCGTGCACAGACCTGCCGGTCTGCAGCAGGCTGATTCAGCATGTTCTGCGCGACTAGGGACCTTGGTAGGATGTCAAGAGATAGCACTTGACTTTAATAGGAGTCTCTCTGCATAATGAACATTCCAAATAATATTAATCCTCTAATATATAATGTATCACATTTGTAATGAATCATATATATGAATATATATAATAAATCATATATATACTAATGAATCATATATATTTGTATGATGTTTATATGTAGAGAGACTATTTTTGATCAAATAACTTTTGACCTTACCAATTTTCTGATCATTTCTTGTCCTAATTCTGCTTAGAAAGAGCAAAACTTACATGATGCTCTCTTTGGCAGCATGCATGCTAACACTGGAATGATACAAAGAAGATTAGCGTGGCACCTGTGCAAAGATGACATGGAAATTTGCGAAGCAGTCCATATTAAAAAAAAACTTATATGACTTGCTATTATAACAATTTATTACTATCAACTATCATTTTTCATGTAAGAATAGTAAAAAGAGTTACCTCAAGCTGTGATGACAGATATATGAGGAATGTAGGAAACCATAAGTCCTGAATCTATAAAAGGTGAAGGATGTGTATACAAATTTCATCTATGATCTCATGATAAATAAGTAGGAATTAAAATGTCCATATAATTAGATCTATAGAAATATTTTGTCTGATATTTATGAGTCTAATACATAAAAAGAGAAATAGAAAATAATGCCAACTGATATTTTGCTTTACTGTTTGAATAGGAATAAAATAATGTACAGATATCTTTGGTTCTTAAAAGAATTTTAGATCTTTTCTGTTAAGTTTTACTTTATGCCCTTCAAAAAAACTACAGAGAATATAACTTTTAGTAAAAACTCATTTTCTTCTGGCATCCTGTCACCTAGAGTATCTGTTAAGTAGTATTTCTGACTCAATAATACACTGAAAACCAATGTTTGTAATAATACCCTAAAGCATCACAGTAACTAGAGTAAATCTTTTGAAGAGATACCTTTGTTGACACAGAAAACTAAACTGTAAAGTCTGAGCCTTCCAAAAAGTATAAATTGTGCTAGGTACAAATGTATATTTTTGAATGAGATTTGAGGAAAAAAATTCTAAAAAGTATATCACAGTAGTCCTTGGTTTTCTTCTAACTGCCTGACCTTGTGCAAGTCACTTCATTAAAATATCCAATACTTCTCTTTTTCAGAAACTATGTCATTAACTTTACATTTAATTTTAACAGCAACCTCAAAGAGTCAGATACTCTTGGAATGCCTAGTTTTAAAGTTTGGGAAACTAAGACCTATAGAGTCTATGTCTTGCTTTAGATCACACAATAACCAGCAGATTCAGTCAAGAGAAGGCTGTAATTTGACTACTATACTAGTCTCTCTCTGAGTCTTGATAACTTACCTACAAAATAATGCTAGTGAACCTTAATTGCTTCCTCCCTGTTTCTATAAATAATGAATAACATGGATGAAAAAGAAGGGCTCATAATACTTTCACTTTTTATGGGAAATGCATAGAGAAGATGAGTATTTAAGCAACTTCAATTAATAAGCCACTTGTTATGGGAGACACATTTTTTTTCTCAACTCCATTTAGAGTATTATTTGTTGAAGCAGAGTCATACATGAAAAATATCATCACCGTAGATGTATTTTGGTAGTGGACTAGTGGCTAATTTGAATGCTAGTCCTGGGATTTGTGGGATTTGTTATGCTTAGGGAAGGAATCATAGTGTGGTAGAATGTTAGGAAGAAAACCCAGGCTTTGTCGATGCTAAATACTTTTACTAACTTCATTTTTTTTCAGAGATCAAAAGTTGAGCTTAAGAAAACACGAAAACTTTGGCAATCAAAACTTCACACTCTTGAATAACTCATAGTAACTATAACTTTTATCTTTTTATATCAGACACTAATGGATTTAATAGTTATTTATTTTAAATGATCTTCCTTGTAGTCTCCTTGCACAGAAAGCCTGAAGATTGTAAATGAACCTGTTTTCCTGTCCATATGCAATGGCTTAGATGTAATGTGTTCCCCAAAAATACATGTATTGGAGGGTTGGTCCCCAGTGTACTGTATGGAACCTTTAAGAGTTGGGGCCTAGTGGAAAGTCCTTAAGTCAATGGGGACTTGACTAAGTTCTGCCCTCGGGACAGAACACTGGTCTTCTGGAGTGAGTTCTCAAGAGTAAATTCTTATAAAAGCCTGAGTTTGACCAGTGAATTGTTCTCTGGACTCCTGTCTTGTGATGTAATCTCTCACTTTCATATGAGCTCCCATGTTGCTGTTCCATTGTTAGGCTGTCACCAGGGGCTAGTCCAGTATAACCACTCATCTTGAACTTTCAGCCTCTAAAAAATGTGAACTAAGTAAATCTCTTTTCCTTATAAATTTACCCAGCTTCAGATATTTTGTTATAGTAAAGAAAATGAACAAATATGCCTTATTTCCTTTGCATTGTTGGAACAAAATGCCTGATATATACACTTTAAAGGAGAAAATATTTATTTTGGCTCATGGTTTCAGAAGTTTCAGTCCATGGTTGGCTGAATCTGGGGCAAAACATCCCGGCAGAAGGGCATGGCAGAGGAAAGCTGCTCACTTCAGGGCAT